CTTTACTGAATCACAATCTTTTGTATGAGATATTTTACTGGTAATCTCGAAAAGAATTAATTTTATCTTACCCTTGTAATTGCTACGGGACAACACTTATTCTCGAATAAAAAATACACAAAGGTAACTGTGAGCACGAGTTGGTGGTGCCATAGTTTTGGATGATACCAAAGTCGAACTAGAAATATAAGGAGGGCAAGCACATCTTGATGGATTAGCCACATATACAGTCAGGCTGGAAAAGTGTGTCAGAGAGGTATTGAATGGTATGAATAGCGCAAATCTCGCATAATCAGTGGGCTCTAAAGTATGCATGTGAAAAGACTGAAGGAACTACCCATTGCCGACTATCCACCATTAATGCGTGGTAAGCTGGCTCGAATTGCTGCAATTATCGTAAATCTCGGCGCCCCTAACAGCCGGAACGGTTGTATTATGCCAAAAAGCCTATCTTCTGACTAAGTTTAGCTCCAATATTCGAATAAAAACGGAAGGTGGCATCTGATGAGAGGCACAAAGTTGAGGCGACCCATCTACCTGTACCTACACCTTCAGCCTTTTATGGGTCTTTCAGTAAATGCAACAAACTTACAACAAGTCGAGTGGATAAGACGCTTAAACAAAGAGCCTGATGCTCTGCATCATTCACACACACAAGCCAACGGTAAAATAAACTATTTGTCGATTGAAGCATGGAAGGATGCGGCCATGCGGACAGGCCTTTGAGTGTATTTATGTGTTTCCGAGTTCTCGGCTAAGAGAAACTTTGGTGTTTCGTTCATTTTATGCGTGTTCGGCTCGAGTTCATAGTAAAAGGCGTACATCCAGCAGTTGGCATGCGAGGCTAACTAACAGCTTGCGTTCTGCAGAAGCAGCAGAAGCGACATTGTGCTGCTTTTCGTCCGAGTGTTTTTTCTCCTAAAATCATAACAAAGCAGCAGAATTGATGGTCCTCGTTCGAATCCTTTCGTGGCTGTTCGGAGTAGAGAAAAACGCGTCCTTTTGTCTTGCTGATTCTCATCCCTTTTTTATATTTCTCTCACACTCTCTTGTCTTCACATATAGACACACATGCATTCCACCGCTATATAAATGGGTATACATGTGTTTGCTGCAAGCAAAACCCTTAAGGCTTCGCGAAGAATCCATTCACGTCTATTATCTTCATAAGCTGGTGTGTATGCCTCCTCTCCTGCGTGGACGTACGAGTGTCTAATGACGGAGGGGTGGCTGAAAAAGTCACTCTCAAATGAATTCATACAGAGCCCTAAAGGTGGTTCCTGTTGAGAAGAAGAGCTGGAAATGCCTAAATATTTGCCAGCTTTGTTGCAGACACAAGGGCAGGATCCTTTTTTGTGTCCTTTCGCTTTGGGCCAGGCGAAACCGCCTGCCGTGCAATAAAAGACCCGGTCGCTGTGACACTGAAGAGGTGTCTGTCTCATGAGGCCTTTTTTCCCCATCGCCTGCCCCCTCCGAGGCTGGTTGCGGAGTCAGACGATCGCAAAGCTGCTGACGGCCACTGAAGGCCTGAGTGCCTGGGCGGCGGGATGGGCAAGGATGCGAGGATAACCAGGACACTCTAACGTGGGCTTGGAACTTAAGTGGCCGGCGACGACTCTACCGGAGGCCTCAACGGCAGCGAATTCGCTAATTCGGTCCTAACAACCACCCCGCACTATTGCAAATTGGCTTGACGCTCTTCTGCTGCACCATAATGCGGCCTTTAGGGACCTTGGTAACCGGCAATTTAACCCACTCACTCACACCCACTCACACACACACACACAGACATTGGCAAACATGCACATAAGTAGATTTGCAGACAACGGAATGGACAGAAGATTAGTGAAAAATGGAGCAAACGGGCACACAAGTAATATTCCAACAAACGGATGAACAACAGG